TAATGTCTCTTCTCATAGATGGCCATATATAGCGTTATCCGATCAGTTTTGTAGTGATTTTCCCGCTTGGATGGTTGAGGTTGTGAAAAGTGTCGAATACTTTACGTTGAAATAATTTGGGGACGAAGGGACATATATCGTGAGCTGAAACATCGCAATAAAGTACTTGATGCTCGGGACTAAAAGTAAGTTTCTGAAATTTAAGCAATGTCTGGTTGTCCTGTAAAATTGCTGTGAGTTCCTCGTCTTTCAGTTGTGCTTTTGATAGCTTTTCGAAATTGATGACTGAAGGAAGTCAAGTGCACCTATCTTGGAAAGAGAGTCAGCTACTGTATTCTCTTGCCCTTGAATGTATGTGATCTTCGTAGTGAATTGGCTAATTAGGTTGAGTTGGCGAAGTTGGGAAAAGCCTTTTCCGATTTCTGTGAAAATGCATACATCAGTGACTTGTGATCCGTTCTGACTTCAATATCCATATAACCTTCAATTTAAAGTTAAAATACTGTATGGCGTGGTAAGTTGCTGTTAATTCTCTATTGTAAGTACTGTAGTTTTCTTGCGCCGGTGAGAAATTTTTTGAGTAGAAGGGCTCTCAGTTAATGCAATCGGTGGCTTGTTCCAGCACAGTCCCCATTGCTATTCCTGGCTAAGTCAATTGTAGAAAAAAATGGTTTTCCCATGTAGAATCGATGAAAAATCCTGAACGTGAACGATCGAATATCTGTCGGGTAATGTTTGTGCATTCAAACGTCACACGGACGCCAGCTGCCATTCTTCTTCTTGATCATATGTAGAAGACTGGCCCATTGACTTTTCGATAGTCGATAATAACTTTGCTCTAACATAAATTGGAATTATGTTTTCGCTGCTTTCAGCTTATCCGGATGTAGACGTGAAGTGGCCTTCATTTGGACACGTTGCAATTGGACACGTTGCAAATGGACACGTTATATTGAACACGTTAATATTGGACACATATCACTTGGACACGTTAATATTAGACATGTATCACTTGGACACGTAAATATTGGACTAATTCTAATCCTAACCCTAACCTAACTTAGAGTCCTATATTAACGTGTCCAAGTGATACGTGTCCAATATTTACGTGTTCAAGGGATACATGTCCAATATTAACGTGTCCAAGTGATACGTGTCCATTTGCAACGTGTTTAATTGTAACGTGTCCAAATGAACCTCTCCCGTAGACGTGGTTGCTCGTAGACTGGTTGTCCAAACGATTTTATCTGATGTGTAACGGAATGGTGAGGTTTAGCGATGGCGACGGACAGTTTTGTGATTTCCGGGAATTGAGCAAGAATGTCAACTACAGGAATAGCTTTGTCGGATCTAGATTATCCCCAAACAAGGGGCTTCATCAATTTTCACTTTGACACTCAATCCTATCTCCACGTCTTCAAGCCTTTTTAAACGGAGATTGGATTTGAAATTATACTGGTACAGAACTTCGGCTCCCAGAATCGTATACGGCACTCGAGCAATAAGACACACGGATTGGTCGGCGTAATCCGAGATCTAAAGACATTACTCGTTTCCCGAAAGTCTTGATATATGTCTCGTTCGCGGCGTATAATATACCCTTGCGCACTTTTAATCGAATCCGAAGAACGTGGTGGGATGACCGAAATATCCGCTCTTGAATCAAGGAAACGAAGTCCGGATACTTTGTCCGTAATAAAAAGTCGGCGGGAGGAATGTATGCAGTCTATTGTCGCCGAAACCAACGACGGCTGCATTAGTTTTCCGTCGTTTGTAGAGCTTGTTTCTTCTGTATCTAGTTGCAGTTCGACACATTTCTTTATCTTTTCTCTAAATCGTCGGGGGTAAAAACAAATTATCGGAGGGATTGACTGCGCGAGGAATCCCTCGATGATCCTCTTGAACGTGAGTTCGAACGCAGGCGTAATCGCGAACTTAATTTGAAACACGCTTGCATTTGATCTAACCGCTTTGTGATCTCCGTGAACTTTTTGACGATGTCATCTTCTGGTTTTTGAATTGCCGCTATTTCTTGGCCGTCATCCGATGATCGATGTTCCATTATTTTGTTCGCTACTGCTGCCAACGCGTCTACATTGTCGGGAATTACTTGTAGCGTCATTCGCATATCGCTAGATAAATACTCGAGAAAGAGTTTTTAGATCTTCATCGTCAAATCTTCCTTGACGGGCGACTGACATTTCCGCAAGGGGTGGCACCCAGTTGGACACGGCTCAATTGGACACGAGCCACTCACAGCGCTTGAGACTACAAAGCTCCTAAGCACCGGTCGCTGTGATTGGTGGTGTCCAACCGAGCCGTGATCAATCGGAATCACCCCTCCGCAAGTAGCCGGGAGGGTTTACCTTTAATTGATAAACCGGATAGTAATTTCCGTAATTCTTGTCCTCGTATTAAAGAATAATGTTCAATCAGTAATGCCTTGAGCGACGATTCGCGAAAGAAAGTCCGGCAATTACATTGCTCATGCTGTCATAAACATCGTCCAGGCTGGATATTAATGCGGTAAATTTTTCCGGTTCGGAAATATTTCGCTCTAAGAACTTGCTCTCCGCGATCTCAAACCATGCCCGTGCATTACTTCCGAATTGAAATTTACGTAATTTTACTCTATATTCCGTGTAACTTCGGTATGCGAATATCTCGGTCGCGTTTGGTACGGTGGGAGGAAAATACGAGGGTTCGCACAATGCATGCTCGTTCCGCGACTTTAACGGTTTAACTCGTCTCTCCGTGTTCACTGTTTCCGAAAAACGATTTTCGGAAGTCGTACCTGGATCATACTGTTGCTCGTTTTCCTCTTCAAAATGACGGTAGTTAGACCTCTCATTGTGCTTTTGTATATCCTCGTCGTTCTTTAACTCTATGAGGCTTGTCTCGTAATCTCGCCTTCGTCGCTGGGTTGACTGCCTCGATTGATGTATCCGCCCTTTGGAGAATGTACTACGTTCATTACCCTTGCGTAAGCCTTTGCTTGATCGTAAGAATATCCGGAGCTCAACGTACGCTTACTGTTCATTAATTTCTTACACCGTTCTTCAAGGCACACACACTAAAAACGGATGTACTCTTGCACTTCTTGAAAACAATCACATCGGGGTCACAAAGTTGTAGGAATGTGTGCCCATATAATGTCCGATAATGACAAAAGAACTAGTGTAATATCCAAAGTTTTTATTCTTGTAGAACGATACTCTTCCGAGGAAATACAGAGAGAGAATATATAAGGCGCGATAAAAGTGGCGATCGTAAGGAAGAACATAAACTATATAGGATCTAGATCAGTGTGCCAACTCGAAATTTTCAAATCCGTCATATGCCTCTCAGAAATACTCCAGAAATAAGCTAAAACCAGTAAATGTGCACATGTATAGAAAAAAAGGGGGGGATGAAATAAATACGTAGTTTTTATTTCATTTTTTCTATTTGAAATAACAAAATTAATATATCGTTTATATAAATATGTAATATAACCAGGGAATGGAAAGTTACTTTTTAAAAGTAACAAGTTATAGTTACTCGTTACCGAGTAGGAAAAGTAACAAGTTACCGTTA